CTGATGCGGAGAGATGGCATCCATCCCACTTTGGACGGAGCCGCTCTTCTTTCTAGAAATATGGCTGATTTTGTTTATCCCCCAAATGATTGACAACCCAGGGTCCAGTCCAGGAAGCAGAGTTGTAGTCCTCCACCCCTCTCTGCTGCTTCTCCTCTGTTACCCACCCACACCCACATTGAAACAGTGTCAACTCACCCACGGCTCAAATTAAATAAACCAAAAATCAGCTCTAAAAATATAAACCATAAAAATGTGTTTAAAATAAACACAGTTACTTTACCAGAGCAAAATCATAAAATCATTAAATGATTTCCTCTAAATCCCTGTTAGTTAATGAACTGATAACTGATCATCATATTGATTTATTCTGTCTGACAGAAACTTGCCTACAACAGGAGGATTTTGTTGGTATAAATGAATCCACTCCTGTTAATTATTTAAATTTTCATGTTCCTAGAACAACTGGCCGAGGTGGAGGAGTAGCTTCTATTTTTCAGTCAGGATTATTGATTAATGGACTATTGATTAATGACAAATCAGTTATTTGTTATGATTCTTTTGAATCACTGTCCCTCAGTCTTTCTCATCCAAAATGGGAATCAGAAAAGTCACTTTTACTAGTTGTTATATATCGTCCACCAGGTGCTTACTCTCAGTTTTTGTCTGAATTCTCAGAATTATTAACTGATTTACTATTAAATACTGATAAAATTATCATAATGGGTGATTTCAATATTCATGTGGATGTTGAGAGTGATAGTTTAAGCATAGCCTTTAATAATTTAGACTCATTTGGTTTTACCCAAAACGTCCGCACATCTACTCATTCTTATCATCACACTCTTGATTTAGTTCTGACCTATGGTATAGAGATTAAGGACTTGGTAATAGTTCCTCAAAATCCTATTCTGTCCGACCATTTTTTTAATAACCTTTGAGTTTACATTAAATGACTACACAGTCACTGAAAGTAAATTTCATCTCAGCAGGTGCTTATCAGAAAATGCTGTAACCAAATTTAAACAATCTCTTCCATCAATGTTTTCCTCTGTCTTGCAGAGTAATGCATCAGAGAACGGTGACTTAGATCATCTAGTTGATCATCTTACAACTTCAATGCAAACTTCAATTGATAAAATTGCTCCACTGAAAAAGAAAGTAATCAGTCAGAGGAAACTGGCTCCTTGGTTCAATTCTGAGTTACGTACTTTAAAGCAGCATCTAGAAACCAGGAGAGAAAATGAAGAATTTTATTTAACTTGGAAAGATAGTCTGCTAATATATGAATAAGCTCTCCGTAAAGCTAGAACTTTATATTACTCATCTTTAATAGAGGAGAATAAAATAACCCTAGGTTTCTGTTTAGTAATATTGCTAGACTAATTAAAAGTCCCATTGCTGTTGAACCATGTATCCCTACAACTATAATCAACCTGATCGCCTGATCAAGAAAGCTCATCAGAGACTCTACTTCCTCAGACGGCTGAGGCGAGCTGGTCTGGGAAGCTCAGTCCTCACCTCCTCCTACAGGTGTGCAGTGGAGAGCATCCTGTGCTCCAGCATCAATGTGTGGCATGGAGGCTGCACAGCTGCAGAAAGAAAAGCTTTGCAGAGAGTGGTGAAGGCTGCACAGAAGATGTTGGAGTCAGCCTCCCCACCATCACAGACATCTACACCTCCAGATGCAGGAAGAGGGCCACCTGCATCATGAAGGACCCCACTCACCCAGCACACACACTTTTTGCCCCACTCCCCTCAGGAAGGAGGTTGAGGAGCATTAAGTGTAGAACCACTAGACTGAGGAACAGCTTCTACCCTGAGGCTGTTAGACTCATGAATCTCTAACTAGAATAATCACTGTGAAAAATCACATCATGTTGCTGCTGATCTGTTTCATGTTGCTGCTGATCTGTTTCAATGTTGATGTGTTCATGCGTGCACATCTGCTCACAGACTCATGTTCATGTTTGTGCTGATGTTCAATGTTTTATGTTATGAGTGCTTAGTGTATATTTAGTTGATGTTTTTCTTAGTTCATATCTTAGATGTTATTACTGTTTTTCTTATACATTTTATTGTTGGGTGTAACTGGGACCCTGTGTACATAATTTCGCTCCACCACATGTACCACATGAGGTACGAATGACAATAAAGAAACTCTGAATCTGACTCTGACTATAAGTAGTGATGACTTCATGAGATTCTTTATAAATAAAATTATTTCAATTAGAGAGAAAATTCAAACCATCCTTCCTTCTAGTATCTCTAGTCCCCTGTCAAATGAGACAACTTTAAAAATTTCACTAGAGCCTGATTTATGTTTGGACAGTTTTTGTCCTGTTGAGCTCTGAATTGTCAAAAATAATAACCTCATCCAAACCATCCACATGCCTGCTAGATCCCATCCCAACCAGACTGTTTAAAGAGGTACTTCCCGTAATTAATGTCCACATTTTGGATCTACTTAATTTGTCTTTAATGGATGGTTATGTACCACAGAGCTTTAAGGTTGCTGTAATTAAACCTTTACTTAAGAAGTCTAACCTTGATTCAGAAATTCTGGCCAACTATAGATCTATATCTAATCTAACTTTCATCTCAAAAGTTCTAGAGAAAATAGTTGCAGGTCAGTTGTGTGAACATCTACAAAGAAATAATCTGTTTGAAGAGTTTCGGTCAGGGTTTAGAGCTTTTCATAGCACAGAAACAGCACTGGTAAAAGTAACTAATGATATTCTCATGGCCTGAGACAATGGACTTGTGTCTATACTGGTCCTGTTAGACCTCAGTGCTGCATTTGATACAGTTGATCACAATATTTTACTACAGAGGCTTGAATATGATATTGGGATTACAGGAACGGCTCTAAAATGGTTTAAATCATATCTATCTGATAGATTCCAGTTTGTAAATGTAAATAATAAATCTTCTTCATACACCAAAGTTAGTCATGAGGTTCCTCAGGGCTCAGTGCTTGGACTAATACTCTTTAGCCTTTTATCCCCCACATTAAAAACATTACTAGAACTGCCTTCTTCCACCTGCGTAATTTCGCTAAAATTAGAAACATCTCATTTAAAAATTATGCAGAAAAACTGGTTCATGCATTTGTCACGTCTAGACTGGACTATTGCAATGGTTTATTATCTGGATGTCCAAAAATTTCTTTAAAACGTCTTCAGTTGATCCAAAATGCTGTTGCCAGAGTCTTAACTGGAGTTAGTAGGAGAGATCATATCTCTCCAGTTTTAGTTTCTCTCCATTGGCTCCCTGTCAAATCCAGAATACAATTCAAAATCTTACTTCTAACCTACAAAGCTCTCAACAACCTGGCTCCATCTTATATTACAGATCTTATTGTTCCTTATTTTCCTAACAGAACACTTCACTCTCAGACTGCAGGTTTACTTGTGGTTCCTAGAGTTTTCAAAAACAGAATGGGAGGCAGATCTTTCAGTTATCAGGCTCCTCTCTTGTGGAACCAACTTCCAGTTTCTGTCCGTGAGGCTGACACATTATCCAGTTTTAAAACTAGGCTTAAGACTTTCCTTTTTGCTAAATCCTATAGGTAGGGTCGGCTTGGGTTTCCTGAACTGTCCCTTAGTTATGCTGCTATAGGCTTAGACTGCTGGAGGACAAACTGACCACACTTTTCTCTCTGCTACTGTCTTTACTTACTCTGCTCAACCTGTTTTGTATTTGTAATTATTTTTTCTTTCATTGACTTGTGTTTTTGTCTTTCGGGTGCACCTGGACCTACCATTCTGGGTTCAATTGTCTCTCCTAGTTCCTCTCAAATCCAGTCAGTTGAAGCAGATGGCTGCTTGTTCTGAGTCTGGTTCTACTGACAGTTTCTTTCTTTTAAAGGGAGTTTTTCTTTCCACTGTTGCCACTGTGCTTGCTCAGGATGGAAGACTGTGACAAAATAATGATTCAACTTGTCTGCTGGATTCCTTAGATAGAGAACTTTAATAATTGGCTTTTATGTTTGTGAACGTTCTGTAAATTGTCCTGAGACAACTTTGTTGTGAATAGGCACTGTACAAATAAACTGAATAGAATTTAGTTGGTCAATTTGTCCTACAGCAGTCTAAGTTAATAACAGCATAACTAAAGGATAGCTAAGGAAGCCCAAGCAAAAAACAAACAAACCACAAAACACTTGATTTTTCAATCTGTTGGAATATTGAGGAATTTTAAAAAGCTGAATTCTAAGGATTTCTCATTGGTCTGGAGCGTGCAAAACTCAGAATTTGATTGAATGTTCTTTGGCTTTTATGCAAACAAAAATTATTTAAATATTACATTTTTCATGGAACTAAAAACTTCATCAACTTAAAAAAACATTTTCTTTTCTTTACTTTAAACTTCAGATTTAGTCATATTTATTTGTGCATTTGTTGTGTCAGTGTTTTTAAATGGCTTCAGAGATATAAAGTTGCAGCATGGGAAAGAACTGCTCACATTGCAATCTCCTTGCAGCTTTATGGAAAGGTGCTGTGTTAAATTTAGCAGCTCATGAAATCTAAGATACACTTACCCTTCTAGCTGAGGTGAGCAATGGTATCATTTTGGTATCAGTGACTCAAACCTTCTTCTGTTTTTGGGACCATTTCAACAATTTGGAAGAAAATAAACTACTGTGACAGAAGAGTCAGCTGAAATAGTTTGCTTGACATACATATAGATTATACTTTACAATGAATAATAATAATAATTCAAATATGTCATTTTAAGATAAGGGTGACACGGTTGTCAGTGCTGTCACCTCTACCAAGAAGGTCACAAGTCACATTCCTGCTGGGGGCCTTTTTGTGTGGAGTTTACATGTTTTCCCTGTGCACAGGCGGGGTTTCTCTGTGTACACCAGTTTCCTCCCACAGACCAAAAACATGCATGTTACATGCATAGGACTGGTAACTCTAAATTGTCCCAGGGTGTGAGTGAGAGAGTGAATGGTTGTTTGTCTCGTTTGTCTCTGTGTGTCCCTTTGATGGACTGGAGACCTGTCCAGGATGTTCCTGTGATGGACTGGAGACCTGTCCAGGGTGTCCCCCGCCTCTCAGTAGTTTTAACACCCAGAGAAATCATTAAGACACAGGATACCAACAGTTTGTAAAACAGGTAAGTGCTTTTTTTCAATAATGGGGGGACACAGGAACACAAGAAGGAGCTGCAGGAGATTGAAGAATTTGTGAGTGTTTGACTTGTGAGAATATAGTTTTCTGTCCAGAGAATGGTAGCTGCTTACTTGATGTCTTTTTTTTGTTGCGGGTTTGGAGGAGGATACCGGAGGATTCCAGGATGATGTAGAATGACCGGTGAACAGGTAAGAAGGGCAGTTTTAAGAGTGGCAGGACAGACCTTAAGGCTGGTGGAGAAGATGTTTGAATGATGGTTATGGTCCTTGTTTGTAGATGACTGCTCCAGAGGAGCGTTCATGGAGGACTCAATCACCGTTACCAGGGATAGATTCAAGACTGGTCAAGGAGACGAGGAATAACTTGAAAAAGGAGCTACAGGGAGTGCACAAGAGAGGACAGGTAAGTTTAGCACACAGAGTCAAGAAAGCATTAGGGCTGGACACGGTCCCATTAATGGGACAATGTTCCAGCAGAGGCTTGTAGATCCAAGTCAGCCTTAAGTTCTGCAGGTCCTCGTCAGTAGATAAGAAGCAGTTGGTGATAATTAGCTCTGCTCTGCCACTCAGGAGCAGCAAGAGAGTGGAGTGAAGGAGAAATACTAAAATCCTCACAACAAGATGTGATGAGTTTTGTAGGGGACTTTGCTTAGCCTTCATACCAATCTGCTCACAACAGGCTCATGTTCAGGCTGCTGCTTAATACACCGTATTATATTACATTATTACTGTTTAGCGTAGCCCTTAGAGCTTGTAGACCTTTTTTCATACTTTATATTTTTGCTCATTTTGGGTGTAACTCAGACCCTGTGTACACAATTTCATTCCACCTCATGTATGACATGTGATGAGAATGACAATAAAGAACTTGAACCTTAGCCACTATATCACATCAAATTTAGTTCAGTATCTAAAAAAATGTTTGAAATCATCAAATTATTACATTCTGAGTTCTATTGTTAAGATTCGGTGTTTCCAACTCCTTGTCAGTTCTTTATATTCCGCTCCCCCCACCCTCCATAGCTCCCCTCTCGAGGACATAAAGCAGGTGGGGGACACAGGTCTCCAGTCCTTCACAGAGACCAGAGACACGTGAGACAAACAACCATTCACTCTCTCACTCACACCTAGGGACAATTTAGAGTTACCAATCAGCCTAACATGCATGTTTTTGGTCTGTGGGAGGAAACCGGAGCACCCGGAGAAAACCCACGTATGCACGAAGAGAACATGCAAACTCCACCTAGAAAGGTTCCCCGGCTGGGATTTGAACCAACGACCTTCTCGCTGAAGGGCAACAGCTCTACCAACTGAGCCACCATGAATTATCTTCAATCTAACATGTAACCTGTAATTGAGCTCCAGTCTCAGTAGCTTTTAACTTGATGTCTACGTGAGGATCTCTCCCTGATTCTCCAGCCTGAGATCACTCTGACTGCTGTTTCCTGGAAGATGTTGAGTAATCATAACTCCTCCTCATCCCATGATTATGGATCTGTGAAACAAAGAAAATATATTTAACTGGAGATTAATCATCCAAGCAAGTGCTCTGTTTTAAGACTTTAAGATATCTGCACCAAAATGAAACAGATTTTAATTTGCCTAAACCAACTGATTGCAGTTGGGATAAAAAGTGTTTGTGCCGATATTAGTGTTTCCTCTAATCTTAAAATTTCAATTCAATTCAGTTTATTTATATAGCGCCAAATCACAACAAAGTTGTCTCAGGGCACTTTACAGGAACATTCACAAACATAAAAGCCAATTAGTAAAGTTCTCTATCTAAGGAATCCAGCAGACAAGTTGAATCTTGGCTTCGTTGCAGTCTCCCATCCTGAGCAAGCACAGTGGCAACAGTGGAAAGAAAAACTCCCTTTTAAAAGGAAGAAACCTCCAGCAGAACCAGGCTCAGGACAAGCGGTCATCTGCTTTGACCGGCTGGTTGAGAGGACAGGAAGGAGAGACAGATGAACACAGAATGGTAGGTCCAGATGTAGGTCCAGGTGTATCTGAAAGACAAAAAAACACATGTTAAGGATAGAAAAAATAATTACAAATACAAAACAGGTTGAGCAGAGTAAGTAAAGACTGTAGCAGAGTGAAATTGTGGTCAGTTTGTCCTCCAGCAGTCTAAGCCTATAGCAACATTACTAAGGGACAGCTCAGGAAACCCAAGCCGACCCTAACTATAGGATTTATCAAAAAAGAAAAGAAGTTTATTACCTCTGAAAAACATTAACGTCACCTCAGAAATAATCTTGCCTCAGTTGTGTTGATATTAGTCAATATGACAATGGTTCAGAGCCAAAAAAAAAACCTCACAAGAAGTATGAGTAGTAAAAAATCATCTGCTAAGTGAGAGAAGGGCTTGTGTGCAAGCAGATGAAACAGGAGTCTGTGGATTTGACTGCTTCTCGGGCTAAAACCCCTGCATCACAGTGAAACATGAAACCTCAGAGGCGACATTAAGACAGCTAGCGCCAGACTGGACTTGTGGTGGATTCTGTTCCCAAAGGATTTGGACATGTGGCCAAGCACCCCACTCAAAGACCAACTGCAGCAACTAAGCTAACATTTGAAGTGATGATATTTTGGATTCATGGCAGCTGTTGTTATGAACCAGCTTCACCAGCTCCACATTGTAGATGGAGTTTTTAAGTTCCTCACAGGAATGTGGATCATAAGTGGGGACTTATTTTTTTCTTTTTCTAAATTTATGAACTCATCCAGGTAGGTTCTGTTTAAACAATGAATCAAGGCAAGGAAGGAAAAACAGTTCATGTCAGAAACTTATTTCATTTTGTTCAGAGGAGACTGTGTTTTAGACGTCTGTGTCGGACGTTTTCAGTCATGATGGTGTCACTCCTCCCTAATTCCACAAAATCTTCATCATGCATTTATGATATGTGACAACTGGGAAAAATCCTCCTTACTTTCATCTTGCACCATCACACTCTAATTGTACTGCTTGATGTGTGGGAAGTGAGCAGATTGTGTCAATGTGAGGCAACTAGGTTGAGCACAATCAGTTAGTGCTTGGATTATGTGTTGGGTATGACTTAGGGATGCACGATATTGGATTTTTGGCCAATATTTTAAAACTGACTTGGCCGATAACAATACCGATATTTTTATATACTTTCCTTTGTCAGAGCATAACCCTCTTATTTAGGCTTATTTGCTACAAAAATTGTGTAACAGCTGTAAGAGCTGGTGACATATATTCAGTAACAGCCATATCATCATCATCATCATCAACTTTATTTATAAAGCGCTTTAACACAGCCACAGCTGAAACAAAGTGCTGAACATCAGTTAAAAACAAGACAAAAGAGAGCATATAAACAAAGCTACAAAGCCAAGCACACAGTGAACTAAAAGCTCTATTTAAACCACAATAAAACGATGAGTTAAACAGATCAAATAAAAAAAAAAATGAAGTAAAATCAAGTCTCAGTTGGGTTGAAGGCCAGTGAGTAGAGATGAGTTTTCAGATGGGTTTTAAACATGGACAGTGAGGGGGCCTGTCGAATATGATATGCATAGCACTTTAACTTATATTAAATAAAAAGTGTTAAATGTTATTTATTAGCATTAGTCATCTGCGATGCTGTCTCACTTGTGGAGGCTTGTTCCAGGTTCCTATAGCTGCAGTGTGGGATCCTCTGCACTCCTGTGCATGAAGAACAGCCTTTTTAAGATCAAAGTTTTTGTCTATCCATTGTGACTAATCATGCTAACGAGGCTAACACGACATACAACTGTCTGTGGTAAAACTCACCCAAGTGCTATTAGCTTCTCAATGACATCAGAAATGACGGCTTGTACCTCGGGTAAAGCAACGTCGGAAAAATATCTCTGACTGGGGACAATGTAGCGAGACTCAACATAGTCCAAAAATCTTCGGACTCCGACATCCTCAACGAAAAAACTTCCACACCGCCGACATCTTGAATTTTCCTCTCTGCCGTGATCAGATCAGGTAGGTGCACGTGACGTCATCACGTTGTGCTGCCACTGCAGACATCTTTATCACTGGGTTGTCATAGAAAAACAACGCCGTATTGGTGAGTTATTTTGATGGAATGGCCGATGTCCGATATTTAACTTTATCACAAATATCGACTGCCGATACCATGCCGATAATATTGTGCATCTCTAGTATGAATCTCAGCTACTACCACAGCAAACTTTAGCTCCATGTATGTAAAGTTGATTCAGGTACAGTCATTTCTGCTAAGGTTGATTAGATGCGAAGGCTCTATTTCCTAAGAAGACTAAAGAAGTTTGGTACAAACACCAGCATCCTCACTAACTTTTATAGGTGCATCATAGAGAGACTGCTGACAGGCTGCACCACAGGGTGGAACGGGAACTGCACCAGAGTCAGAAAGCACTACAGAGAGTGGTGCAAACAGCATAGGACATCACTGGTAGTAGTCTCCACACCATCCAGGACATCTACCACAGCCGATGTCTGTGTAAAGCATGCAGCATCATTAAGACCACACCCACCCAGCACAAGGACTCTTCCTTCTATCCTCAGACAATACAGGAGACTGCCATCACATACAAAAAGACTCAAAGACAGTTAATATCCACAAGCTGTCAGATTACTAAACTCTTGATAATACGGAGGTGATGAGGTTACAGTGTCTCTTTTTCAAACTTATTGGACCTCCTTTAATACGGCTCACCTCTGGTGTAACTACAGTAAAGCTATAATGATGAAACTGCAAATAGCCGATCAGCAGTGGTGGGATGTAATTAAGTACAAATACTTTGTTACTGTACTTAAGTACATTTTTCATGCATCTGTACTTTACTTAAGTAGAGTTAAATGTGGGTACGTTATACTTTTACTCCACTACATTTTACATCAAGTATCTGTACTTTCTACTGCACTACATTTCTATAATGTGTTGCATTACAAGTTACATTCATGTTGCAGCTTTTTGATTTGTTTGTTACTTTGAAAGTAACCAATGGTGAGAGGGGAGCTGGTCCATTGAATCATTACAAAGTGGGCAGGTAACGTTAGGCCCGCCTTCAAGAAGAGCTGGGCCAATGATATACATTCTGTCATGCTTTTGCCCCTCACAGCCTGTCATTTTTGTGTTTTTTCCTGCCAAGTTCTGCCTGTTCCTGTCACTCACTCTCACCCAGCAATCAAGCTCATGCTCTACACCTGTTCTCCACCCTACTTAAACTCCCTGCATTCACTCAGTCAGTGCCAGATTCTTGAACCTTTCAAGCAGTAGAAATCCAGCATACCTGATCTTGTCTCTTGTCATGACTCCTCGCCTGTTTTTGACTCCTCGTCTTGCCTGAACCCTCTTGGGTTTTGTCTGCCTATCTGCCCATGGTTTCTGACTCTGTGTCTTCCCC